AGGGCCTGTAGGGACAGGCCAAGGGGAATGGCTTTAACCTGCCAGAGGGGAGACTGAGCTGAGCTCTTAGGCAGAAGCTCTTCCCTGTGAGGGTGCTGAGGCGCTGGCACAGGGTGCCCAGAGAAGCTGTGGCTGCCCCATCCCTGGCAGTGTTCAAGGCCAGGTTGGACACGGGGGCTTGGAGCAAGCTGCTCTAGTGGAAGGGGTCCCTGCCCGTGGCAGGGGTTGGAGCTGGAGGAGCTTTAAGGTCCCTTCCAACCCAAACCATTCCATGATTCTATGGCAAAGGATGCTGACAAACTAGAAATGCAGGCTGTGTTTTCCTGGAGCTGCAGGAAAGCCCTGGTCAGTGGTGTTGTCCTATGCTCAGTTTAGGGAGCCTTTGGGTCGGGTGATCCTGATCTCTGAAATCCCCCCAGCCTGGGGCTGCTTCCAGGGAGCTTTGCTGGAATCTGCTCATCCCACCCAACCATGCTGGACTGGGCAGCATCTCCTGAGATGCCATTTGTCTGTTCATCAGCACAGAAATTACTCCTCTCCTCCCTGGTGTGTGTCTCCATTGCTTTCTGACAGTACCACCTATGAGCGTGTGTACACGTGTGTGCTTCACACACAGTCTGAGTTGTCTTATCTGGTTTAGTTTTGATCTTCAGAACTGTGTTCTAACGTATTTGCTGCAGAGTTGCACAATGTGCATGATGTTCCCCTTCTCTGGTCATGCTCGGAAAGTTGATTTTAAACTTTTGGCCTTATAAATGTATTTTTCTCCCAGATGGGAGAGCAGGCAGCTTGTGATGAGAGTGAACTTGCTAATAAAAATAATGAATATGCAAAGGGACAGTCACCACATTCAATCCCTGCTTTGTTTCTCTGAGTGTGTTTAAGTATTGCATGAATAGAAACAGATTATAAGAATAAATCAGTTGTGGCCTTCACCTTGGGATGAAGTTGAATGACGGTTCTTGTCTCTGTAGATACCTCAGGTCCTTTACCTTATATTTTATGCATGTGGGCAGCTGATTCTTATGCACAGTCATAAGTAGTTGAAGAGACACAAAAGGCTGTGTGGTCCCTTTTCTGCCATCACTGCTGCACAGGGAAATTGCCATTTTGCAGTTTCCATCAGTAAAGCTGTTGTCTAGTCCTGAATCCTGTGTCTGGCTCTTCCCATCACCGCTTGCGGGGCTGGTGGATTCACAGCTTCCCTCTGAGCACCTCTTATTTTCTAATTTCTTTGCTGTCTTAGAAGATTTTTCTCTGTTATTTGCACAAACTGAGGTTCAAGCCAGCATCTGCTCCTTCATTCCCATGCCTGCTGTGAAGAAGCCTCTTTCCTTTCCAGATTACTACAGGTAGTTAAGGCACATTGTGTTTTCCTCTCAGTCTTTATTTTCTCTGAGGTACTACAGGGAGATGCCTGCAGAAAAGTGAGCATTTCTGAATTTGTTACTTGTGATATCTTGTTCTTCCTGTTGCGGAGCTCTCCCTGTAGATAGGACTCTTTGAATGCTGAGGCGAGTTGATGCCTTCATAAAAAACCCGCTTGACGACGAATCCATTCTCTTGCAATCACTGCTTCACCACCCTTCCTCCAGGTACAAACCACCACAGATAACACGATTTCCATTTCTCTAGGGGAGTGATATGCAGCAGGCTCATTTCCCAAGGTTGTTTTGGAACAGACAAGCAAACAAAACCAAGCTGAACAAAACATTAACACCCCCCCCTCCAACAAGCAGGAGCCCAGATCTGTGTTTTTATTCTTGTCTTGCCCATAGAAGAAGGAGAGAAGTCAGAATTCAAATGTCTCACAGGTGTTGTCTGCAAAAGCAGCGTGCCATTTGGAGCTGTCAGCCTTGTGTATTGTGACTGGCACGGAAGCTGCTCTGCCTCTTCCCTGTGATCAGTACGAGAGCTGTAAGAGCCACACCAAGGGATGGAAGTTACAAACAGGTCTTAGCTTGGCCAGGGAATGGGAAGGGAGAAGTGCCATGGGTTGGTTTCTTTGGATGGGGTTTTTTGGGTAGTTCTGGCATTAAATGGGAAACAAAGCAGGCGTTGAACTCCTGATTTTAGTAAAAGCTGTGGCTGACCTTTAAGCTGCTGGATTCAGCACACGGATTTCCTTTGACTTCTGCACATTTTAAGGTACATTTTGCTCCTTTTGTGTTCACGGGGCAGTTAAGCCCCTGCAAATCTATAGCAGCAGCAGTGAGATTTCAGCCCTCTTCTATCCAGTGCTGGATCAAAAGCACCTCCTAAAAACATCTCACATTTGAACTTTTCTTAGGGGTACAAAACCTCTGCTTTGCTTTGAGGAAGGCAGGCAGGAGGAACGGAAGCCATCCTTCCCCAGGCTGCTGAGCTCCTTAAGCTCAGAGTAGCTGGAGCTACTGTGTTTTTAGTGTGTGGTTTTTAGTATTACTTTAAATCCAGTGAAGCAAACTGGAAAGCAGTGTAGTTAAAGCTCTGCAATTAAAGCGGGGCTGTACAAGTGTGGCTGAGTGGAGATGTGGATATGATCTGCCTAATAAGTAGTAAATCTGGGCATCAACCTGGATGAAACGGCGTTTAAATTCTGTCTTTATTCACTGTGCGCTGCTCCAGACTCATTCATTGCAGTGCAAATGAACTGTAATGCCTGGAATCCACAGTGCTTTTGTTTTCATCCTGGACAGAGCTCCACTGGTCACACTGGGTTTGGTTGCTGGCTGCAAATTTCCCACTCAAAGGAGCCTTATTCCCACTTACGACACTTAACAATTGTACCTCACGTAGTAACATCATCCCCTGAAAGCAGTGGTGAAACTTCCCTACCCTTCAGCGTGAGTGTGATGGGTTCCATATAACCTCAGGAAAGTGATGTTTAAACTCTAAATGATTTCAGAGAGCTCCTTACAGGGATGAGGCTGCTCAGTTCAGAACCTCCAGCCTTGTCTGGGTTTATGTATATAAGCTGGTAAGGCTGTGTTATGTAATTTTTATTTGGTATAATTGTGCTTTGAACAGGAAAGCATCCAGGTCCTTGTCTTTTCCCTGTCCTGTCTGAATCACATCTGTAATACCAGAACAGATGAAGTTCCTTGCCTTCCTTCTGAAGCAGACTGCTTAAGCACTAAGCCCTGGTAATCCAGTTTATGTTTTCATAACAGTAAATATAATATGAAGATATGCACAGCTTGTGCTTGATGTAAGCACTGAGATCATGACAGTGTTCCTAAATCCTTTTATTTTAAGATTTCTTTACTTGATAAACTTCACGTTGTCTTTCCTTTGGTATTTCAAGCTGGGCTTTAACCCAAAACGAGCCTCCCGTATCTCTACCACTCTGGGGAAAGCTTCCTTTTCCCTGGTGATTCACTGGTACAGGAGACATCAAGCTACCATCTATGGGACGTTCAAGCGACGGGCAGAAGCTCTAAGGTTCTTCATGTGACCTTGGACAGCATCAGCAAGCTCTTTTCTCCTCCTTGCCTAGAAGTGAGGGGCTATTACTCCCTTCCCTCTAATCCCTAGTGTTTTCTTTTGCTCTTTATATAAGAGACTTTGCTCTTTGCACTGACACAGTGCCAAGTATGTATTTTCATCATCGTTATTTACACTTTGATTAAGCATATTGTTCAGTAGATGACATTAATAATATCAAAATGCCATTTTATACAATATTTAAGATCAGAATTTTCTATTGGAAATCAGTAGGAACATCTTCCTAAGAAATCAATGACCCCAAAGCCCCTTCTTACATAAGTAGTATCTATATTTGTCAGTGCCAATATAAGATGCTGTGGTTATCTATCTGTCCATGGCCTGGACAGGACTCAGTGCTGCATTGCTCAGAGGCAGGCAGTTAGCTGTGAGGAGTGGATGACTTTTAGCCTTGCACCAGTACAATTTAAATGAGAAGCCTGGAGCTGAAAGGCTCCATTTCCCATTAACAGACCCCTCCTGTGGGTTACTTTGTCATTGGACTTCAGCCCTTACACAAGAGGCTCCTTTAACTAGGAAGGGTTAGTCCTTCCCAAGTCCTTCACGACTCAAGGTGACTGAGCAATTCCCTGCTGGAGTGGGTCTGTTCAGAATATAACTGTATCCGTTAGCCAGAGCTGGGTCAGGGAGAGAGCCTTGATTCTATTCCTGGCTGCTGGAAATGGCACCTCTGCACCATAGTTTATCCTGGACAAATTTAGAGGCAGAGCCGGTCTGTCAAGGGATCCGTGCCATTGAAAACTGTGTGCAGCTCTCTTTGTTCTGTAATAAAACTGTGTACATTGCATATGATACATAACAATTGCACTTTCAAATTGCAGAGGGATTAGGGCTCTGTTTGATGAGTTTAATATTTTATGTTTATCTTGAAGTTTTTCTACATATCTGTATCTATATCCTGGACCTAATTTAGCCTGGGGTGTAATCAGTAAAAAAAAAGGCAGGGTAACCTCATCACCTGTAAGCATTCCGGTGGGAAAATACTCAGCACCAGCAGGAATTCAGGTTAAAGATGTTGAAAAAACATCTCCTTTCATCAGGGCTTTCTTCCTCATTAAATGCAGAGTTTGCTCATAAGTATTTGCCAAATAAAAAGGGAGAAATAGGTAAAAGTTAATACTATACAATTAAGTTCCCTTGAATTTTCCCAGAAGGTTCAACTCAGCTTAATTTAATAGCCCCTCAGTCCTCCCAAGCCATCTGCTTGGCTGAGATGCGAAACAAATGTGTACAGTTCGATGTATTTATCATGCCAGCCTGGGAGGTGAGGAAAGCTCTTAGGAAACAGGTTTGCTCAGTGACTCTGCAGGGCAGTTGTCTCTTCAAGACGTCCTTCACCATGCAGCCAAAGGCTGCTATCAGCTATCCTGGAAGAGACTTGGAATAATGGAGCAAGGCAGGTGGAGCCTGTGCTAAATGATGAGCATGTCAACAGCCTCATTGTCTTGGTGAGCTGGGCTCAGCAGCTGGCCTAAATTCCCAGCTGGATGGGGACACATTCCTCCTGAGCTTGATAGAGACCATCAGTGATTTGAGTGGGAGAGCAAAGCGAAGCAGGAGCATTGGGATGAAGGAGGAAAGCTTCCTGGCCCCTGTGGTGATAACCTAGCGCAGCTCTGCCTCTGGGGGAGCAGATGCCAGCCTTTGGAGCATGCTGCTGTCTGGTGTGTGCTCACACCTCTGAGGCAGTGGTGGGTCCTGAGCAGCCCTACAAGTAGGTAGGTGCTTTGTAATGGTGGTTATGGACACGGTGCAGGCAGGCTAGTCCTATGCTCCCTTGGGATCTGGGAGCATCTGCATCCAGGTTAATAGTCCTGGACTTACCCCATCATGTAGGGTGTAATTCAGAGATGGGCAAAATGTGTCCGCTGGTGGAAAGCGTGGTCTGAGCACCCAGTGACTCTGGTTCCCACTTCCCCCTCTGTCATTGCCAGGGGGTACTTTTCCCAGATCCTAAAGACTCCTGCACTGGGAAACTGGGAATTCTCCTGCATAAGCAAGGGGCTAACACTAACCTCATTACCCTGTGATTAACTTTACCCTTCTTCCCTCCAGAATTGTTGTTGATGCTTTGCCAATGCTTTTAGCATCATGAGTGCTTTTTGGCATTCAGACACTGTGGGCTTTGCAAACAAGTGAGGCTGGGCTGGTTTGTAACTTCCTCCTCTCTTCTTGGCCTGGGGTCTTTACGGGGACGTTGGCGTATGCTCTGGTGGCTACAGGTCTTTCCCTTTGAAGTTTCCCTTTGAAAAGCCTCTGTGTGTATGTATGGTGCAGAGTGCACAGGCAGGTCCTGGCTGAACAGGGAAACGTCTGCTCTCCAATTAGCAGAAAACCCAAAAGAATAGCATTACTAAACCTGCCTGAACGCTTGCAGTTCAAATGCTGGGCTACTGAGCAGCAGGGGAATCCTTCAAGATCTTTGTTTTACATACGGAGGTGGATACTGGCTATGAAAATGCTTATCTTTGTCCCAGGTCTGATGTAGAGCTTAATGTTTACAAAGGGCTGGAGAGCTATAGCCTGACACTTGGAGCAATAGCACCATTGGTCATAGGCCAAGGGGAATGGCTTTAACCTGCCAGAGGGGAGACTGAGCTGAGCTCTTAGGCAGAAGCTCTTCCCTGTGAGGGTGCTGAGGCGCTGGCACAGGGTGCCCAGAGAAGCTGTGGCTGCCCCATCCCTGGCAGTGTTCAAGGCCAGGTTGGACACAGGGGCTTGGAGCAAGCTGCTCTAGTGGAAGGGGTCCCTGCCTGTGGCAAGGGTTGGAGCTGGAGGATCTTTAAGGTCCTTTCCAACCCAAACCAGGCTGGCATTTTCTATGATTTGTTGCTGAGATGAAAGGGTATCAGATCAGGCAGTTGCAAAGAAACACTATTGCTCTTGTGCTCTCTTCCATCCTCCTGCAGGGCTCAGTGCGTTTGGGATCTTGCAGTGTTCCCATTCAGAAAGGCTGTGTTTGTGCACCTGGAGTTTGGGATGGAGCACAGGCTCCGATCCTGGCTTGGAAGAGTGTTGTTTGCCTGATGTGAGCTCTAGTGAAGGGCAGGTGTGGTGGGATGTTAAATGAAGCTTAAATCTCTGTGATGCTTCTGCAGGAACAATGGGGCATTTGTCCTTATTGCACACCAGTGCAGGGTTCTCTGCCTCTGGACTTGCTGGTATTCAAACTTTAGGTGAGGCTTAACAAAGATTAGGGTTTTTTTAATCTAAGACAAATATCAACAAAGTTCATTCTTTGAGACTGCTTTGATATTTTGCATCTCCAGTTTACTCCAGGAGCAGAATAAGTTGTTTGGGGAGTTCATTTATATTCATAAGGTATTAATTCACAGCTGTTCCAGCTCTATAAGGGATTCCTATAAGGTCTGAGCAAGGAAATGGGCTAGTTTGACTTTCAGTGATTTCCTTTCATACACAACATACAGCTGTCGATAAGTAAAGGTTGGCCTTCAGCTGGGTAATGTTAAAAAGTGCATTTCTATTCATGAGGTGTCTGGCAGTCACTCTTTCAAAACCTTAGGACTGTATTTAAGACAGGAGAGAACAGACCCAGAGCTGTGCTGAAGTTTTCTGCCTCCTTGTCCTTAAAAGCCATGTTTCCAAGCAGCGCATCTCTGAGCTGTTTTGTACCTAGATGTTACGTGTTCACCCTGGCTGTGGACACACTGGGGCTCACCAGCATTTTGGTCATGGAATGAAAAGATGCACTCCTAGGGCACAACTGTGTGCAGTGCAGGGTGGCAGGGCACGCACTGGAGTCAAAGCTCTTGGAAGCTGGCCCCAAAAGAGGAATTTGATTTAATGCTATTTACATGTAGAACACTCTTTCCAGTTGTAAACTGTATCCATAGATGGGATTTGTTTTCCTTTGGCATCTATAAAATTAACTTGAATTACTCCAGGTAGAAGATATTAAGTATAGAAAACAGGGACATTTCCATCTTCTCCTCTTTGAAGGCAGCTCTGCTGCAGTGCACACGGGGCTATGCTGAGCAGATCCACACCTCCACAGCAACTTTTGAACCTCATGTTTGAAAGGGAAACCCACTCTTGGCTCTGGATGGGTGAGAGTGTCTGTATGTGAGATACTGAAACATAAAGAAGTATTATATGTCTGTTCTTTAGCACAGAGAACAGGTTGTATTTGTTATGGGGACAGGCGCTTGGGATGCAGATGTGACAGGAGAGATGTGGTCTCTCACCACCCTTTAAATAAATAGAATTTATTTCTATTATTTAATTTGATAGAATTTATTTCTGTTATGTAATGTAATAGAATTTATTTTTATTTATTTAGACCACCACCCAAATAAATGCATAGAAAAGGTTACTGCAACTGAGAAGGTTGTAGGTGAACGCATAAGTGGCCAGTGGGGGATGACATCTCTATCATAGAATCAACCAGGTTGGAAAAGACCTGTAAGATCATCAAGTCCAACCATTACCTCAGGACTGCAAGACCACCACTAAACCATGTCAGTGAGGGCAGATCAAGGATTTTCTCCCTAAGTCCTTTGCTGTGCTTTATCTGCCAAGGACATGGGTGTAGGCAACAAGGTGTTGCCGCTCTTCAGTTGCATTCTCACAACACAGGCTGTGTTCTGGGTATTGAGGCATTATTGGTCATCTGAGTGGGCTCTAAACCCTTCTCGAACTCTTATTATGTGAAAGCACAGAACAGGGATTTTTTTAAATAGAGGAGCTGTAAAAAGTGTCCTTTCAGCTGCTGTGCTGCAGGTTTATCATGCATTATAATATATCAAAAAAGTTATACCCAAGCCCTAGTTCTTTAACTGATTACGCCCTAGTTCTTGTTTTGAAGAACGGGATTGTTCTTCAAAGCCATCTGCAAAGAGCTGTGTGCTGGCTGCTTGCTGCAAGTCGGTTTTGAAGTGCAAAAGCAGAAAGAATCGTAACCATCACCAGAGATTTTGCAACTGTAATAGGCGCGCATCGTGAGGCTGAGTGTTTGCGATTGCTATTTTTGAGTCTTTGACTTACTTGAAAAGAACTTGATGCTCGTGTCATTTTATGTAAATTGGGCTCCGTCTGTCACTGCCTATTGGATATAAAGGGGTTTAAAAGGCTTGTTTTTAGAAATGCACAAGACTCTTTCGACTGAAATAATCGGTGTGCGCACATCCATGACATAATATTTTTCCATAATCGTAGCACAAGTAACCAGGGATAAAAATGGGAGGAATATCATCACAGCTGTCCCAAAGATACCATGGAATAGGTTATATTTTAGAGGCAGAAGTCGCCTTCACTTCTGAAGTATCATCTGTATATGGGACCAGGCATGTCTGCTCAGGCCAGCAACCTAGTTAAGGTGACAAATACCCCACCAGTACGTAGTGACTATCAGCATCATTATAACACTGCTTTCCCTGTAGGAGTTGTGTTGTCTTCTGAAGGTGAGGGCCCTATGAAAGTGGTTTCAAGCTGCCAAAAGACCATGCAGAAAACAGAAGGAGTGTGCAAAGGAACAAAGCTAGACATGGAAAAGCTTTCTAAACACAGCATTATTCACTCTTCCTATTTTTAAGGGGTTAGTAAACTGTAATAGCATATTAAAGAAAACCTTTTCCTTGTCTAGGAAGGCACATCATTAGAAGCTGTTCTAGGTGATTACAAACAGTGCTTATAGGTAACCTATTGCTCTGCAACATTGGATTCACCATCACTCCAAGACCTACTAATCAATATATACATGGCACTGAAAAAGAATCCACTACCAATGGTAATTACAACTCTTAAATCTATATGTACAAGTCTAAATGATCTGGTAGAGTCCCTGTGATGAAGTTAGAACTGTTACCCTTTGGACTGTGCTTGATTGTGAGCTAGGAGTTTTAAATCCTGGCAGAGGAGCCATTTTCCTACTTCATTGTGGTTTTTAAATTGCTATTAATAAAACATAGTGCTGTCTGTGTCTTGATGCAGAGAGACCTTAGCCTTAGTACATGCCCTTCCCATTTATTATTTATACAGGCATTTAACAGCTCTGACATATCTTAACAGAAACACCAGGCAGTTGTTTGTGAACCAGGAATAGTAACAAATATAGTTGATATTTCAAAAGGGTTTTTTTTTTAATGCATATGTAATTGAATGAGAATAATACCTGAGCCTCGTGGGTCCTGGGAGGAGTGACATTGCGTGTGTTGTCTTTTGCTTAACTTCAACAGTTTTACCACTTGCCTTTTATTTCCAAGTTCAAGTGCCACTTAAAGGGTATTTTATATACGCGTGTATGCATATGGCTGCTAATTGAGTTTATATGTGCAGCAGGGGTTGAGTAAGAAGTGGTTAAGTGCACCTCCTTAGTGGCATCTCGGAAAAGCTGATTGCTTTTCCTCGTCTCTTCTTGTTTCCTGATGGATGAATGCTCCCATGACTGTTAAGGATTCTGCCTCCTTCTGCAGAGGGTTAGCCAGGCTGCTCCTGCAAGTACTGGTGCAAGTTGGATGTAATAGCAGCTTTCCCCAGTGAGGAGATAACCAGCAGAGTGGCCTAAACTCTGCTCAGAACGCCCCCCTGAGCAAAGCTGTGTCTGGAGAAGGTCGCATCTCCCAAGAATGGTATTTAAAACCAATGAGAAAGGCTCACACCTTCAAGAAGTCAGTGACTTTGACTTCGCTACCCTTGAAAACAATGACAAATCTCGTGTTTTGTCTCTGTCATCAGTAAAAATAAACAGGATGACCC